ATATTAATATAATAGTATAACTATTAATATTAATAAATAAATTATTAGTATTACTGAATAGTAATTTACCACCACTAATATTATTATTATTATTACCCTATATTTATTATCCAGTTTTGTGTAAACAGATTGGTATGATTTGCATGGAAATGAAAGGTCAAATCAAGCACATTGCATAAACAATTTTGCATGTGGCTGACAATGCAATATGCTACATGGTAAAAATAATATATACTGCAACAATAGCATGAGTAGTATGGTAATATGCAGTTCTGCCTTGGTCTTGCCTTGCCATCCAGAAGTTGCTGTGGGTGTATGACATGTTGTTCTCCAGGTCTGGAGCTGCTCAGTGGAATCCTCCGTCCAAGAGCACCTAAAGCACACACACATTTCTGTTGGTCAAGGACTCTGCTATTGCCTTAGGCTGTGGACTATGGAATCAGTGCAGTCTTTCATACATGTTATTGTACCTGCATGTTTATACCTTAGTGTGCTGAGGGAGTACATGTTTCAGAAGAAAAAAATTTTCTCCTGTTACCCGAGGCACGGTTTTTTCATCTTCATTAGTAATAGATCATACCAGAATAGCGCAATCACTGACACTTAGAAAAAGAGGATTTAAGACCTAAGGCTGTTTTGATGAGTGATTGTGTAAGTATGTGTTCATTTGAGAGACATGCATATACATTTCTTCCTTGATAACAAACAGTACTCCAAGGACGTGCTTGGCAAGAAACAAACATTTACAGTTATTAAATAATAAAAATACATATAATGATAACCCATTAACTTGTAACCAGGCATTAAGATTTTTTAAATGTCTGCAGTGGCAATAACACACATGTAAATATGCCCCCATTTAACTCACCTACAGAAAATAAGCTGGTTTTAGGAGAGTTTGTTGATCTCATGCTTATTTTTTAGATCCTCTCGAGTCAAAGACACTACAAAAAGCTCTCGTGTCCGTGTCACTGATAATCTTCTCTCCTTCTCAAATTCTCTTCTTTTCCTTGGAATTTCTGACTTACATACAACTTTGCCTCCGTCATTGCGTCCTTCCCTTCTAGTGAAATATGACACTGCACAGTATCTGTCTTTAAGTAAAAATGAGCAGGTATTTTAAGCTGCCTTGCTCATGTTTTTAAAGCGGTCTTGGGAAGGAACCTTTTTCTCCCTTTAAACTGTAGTAGATTTATGAAATACATAGCTATTTTTTAAGATTAATCAAACTAATGAATACACATGTCTGAGGTGATATTTGTCTTAAATGATTCTCTGAATGTCCTGTTCATAGAAAAGACACAAGTGGACATGCTCAAGGATATTAAAATATTATTTTAATAATAATATAAAATATAATATTTTATAATATAAATTATTATATAGTTATCTGAAGGACAGTGCATGAGTCTTTTTAATTTGAGAGCATTAAACTTTCAATGACTGCTTTTAAACTTTAATATACAGAGGCTTGTAAATGTATTTGGATACTTAAGGCACACTTAAGTACTGTATTAGATGTTTAATATATGATATTAAACCAATTAGCATCTACTGATGTCAGATATTTTTTTATTTTTTTTTTAGATATTATTAAATAATTAAAATGTTGAAATAAATTAAACAATAAAAGTTCTTAATTAATTTTAAGACATTCAGAAATTAAAATAAATTAAATTCATATATAACAGCTGAGGTTCTGACCTGAAAGAGGGTCCGTCTGTTTTGCGGGGTCAGGGGCCTGACTGCACTGTTCCACCAGTTCTCCAGCAGAGGGAGGCAGCTGCATGTGAGAAAACCACAGCACTGTCACATTTCACTCAACAGCTGTCTGGCAGAAATAGCTTAGAGACACCATTACTGCGTGTGAAAGACTTCACACAGAGAGTCTAATTACTACATATGAATATTAATTATAATTATCAGCAAGAACATAATATCTCTTTAATTTCACATGTTAGAGTCTCTGTCAGAGGTTTACAGACTCCATCATTGAGAATATTGGGGGTAACTCACAGCATGAGATCAACATTAGGTTCTCTATGGTAGTTTAAATGAATGCTGCAGTATGAGTAACCGTACGCTCAGCTGCATATAAAATGCAGAGTCTATTGTGTTATGTAATTAGGCAATACCAATGTGATGACTATATGAGCTCTAATTACTGTTCCTACTGAGCAAAATCCGTTTCTAGCACCGGACCCTTTGGCCAAATTTGGGGGTCAGAAAGTTTCTTTTTTCCCCTTTCTTTTTTTTCTTTAAAAAGTGAATACTTTTATTCAGCAAGGATGCATTATATTGATAAAAAGTGACAGTAAAGATATTTATACATTTTACAAAAACAAGATTTTTATTTAAAATAAATTATGTTCTTTTGAAGTTTCTATTCATCAAAGAATCCTAAAAAAAATATAAATATATCACGGTTTCCAAAAAAAAAAAAAGTTAAGCAGCACAACTGTTTTCAACCTTGAAATCTTTTTTGAGCACCAAATCAACATATTAGCATGATTTCTGAAGGATCATGTGACACTGAAGACTCGAAAATGCTACTGAAAATTAAGTTTTGCCATCACAGGAATAAATTAATATTATAAAATATATTTAAATAGAAGAGTTAATTTAAATTGTATTAATGTTACTGTTTTTACTGTATTTTGAACAAATAAATGCACCCTTTGTGAGAATTTGAAGTGAAGTGTGGCCAAGTATGGTGACCCATACTCGGAATTTGTGCTCTGCATTTAACCCATCCAAGTGCACACACACAGTAGTGAACACACACACACACACCGTGAACACATACCCGGAGCAGTGGGCAGCCATATTGCTGCAGCGTCCGGGGAGCAGTTGGGGTTTCGATGCCTTGCTCACAGGTCTCACCTCAGTCGTGGTATTGAGGGTGGAAGAGAGCGCTGGCTATTCACTCCCCCCACCGACAATTCCTACCGGACCAGAGACTCGAACCCGCAACCTTCGGGTTACAAGTCTGACTCTTGTGACTACTTTTATAGTGCAAACAGAAATATCTAAAATACCAATGACCTAATTTATCAATAATTTTTGTTAAATTATTTGTTTATTCTATATGTGTCATGTATTACAAATATTTAGGCTAATAATACCAGGATAATAGTCATTTAACATTGGTAAGTTCTCTAGAGCATTTTTCTGACTTGCTTTTTCAAGTTAACTTAAGAAAAATTCAAAATAACTTGTTTTTTCAAGATGACAAGAAAAATAAGATTTGGAGAAAATAAGGCAAAAATAATCATGCATGGCTTCTGTGAGCGTCTATATATAACAGTAATTATTCTTTCTCTTTTGTGCCTCTATGAACCATGAAATCTCTGTACTGTTCTAGGATGGGGTCGCTATCTTGTGAATTAATCAGTGCTGCATATTTCTCCGCACAGTTTTCTCACAGCTTCAGTTTCCTAATGAAAATCAATGGACATGCAGACGGAATCATAAAATCTCCAGGTTTTTTTTTTCTGGTTCAGCTTAACATTGGATGTGTGAGACTGAAGCCCACCTTGGTGGTGTCCTGGACAGCAGAAGGTGACTGATTGGGTCCATTGTGTGGAAAGTTTCCCTCAGTGCTCTGTCCACTGCCAGCACTGCGACTGCTGCCCATGCTGCCTGCACTGCCCACACTGTTCCTGTCACCTGCTGAAAGAAAGAGGAATAAACAAAGACAGGAGAAAGAAAATGAACAGTTGGTTAAATACTGCCTGTAAAAAACGACTGCTTTACTACACATTGGGCAACAAATGGGGTAAAGAATTTAGCAGCTATGATCTCTGAACTCCAGCAAGGTCTCTGTAGACAAGGGGAACGTGAAGGAGCACAAGGGCTAGTGCAAATTAAGCAATGTGAATGGCAAGCTGATGGTAGGCTGACAAACTTAGGACAAATATAGCCTAAAGGAACAGGAACCCTGTGAAACAGCTGGAAAAAAACTCAAATTGAGACAAAAGTCACTGGTGTGCAGGCTTTGGGACAGCCGTGGGGATGAGAAAACAGGGGCCTGGGGAAACGGACAACTCTTACCATTAAGAGAGGTCCTGAGGACCCAAATATCCTCTGGCTCTTTGGGACTAGCTGGCTTACACAGGGCACTGGGACTGTCGGGAATCGCACCTAGCAAACACAAACACTTTAAAGGGCCATGGGGGGAAACTCTAGGAGTCCAGATATACTTAAAGCGAAAGAACTGGGGCCTCATGTATAAAACTTTTATAAATCCGTCAGCGGAAGATTGTGCATACATGCATCTCCTCCCCAAAATCACCATATATGGAGCTTACAATGCCTAGTTTTACTATGCATAACCTCATCTGCATATCATTTCCATGCATATTCCCATCCACGTGACACCATGTTTAACACCGTCAAAGGTACAAGACATTAGGAGAATGACATGCGGACTAAAATGCAATTTGTACGGTACAATACATTGCTAAAAAATCATTCAATGTCCTTGTTTTCGAATAAATGTATCAAAATGAATGTAAAAACTAAATTGTATAAAATACTTCTCACAGAATCTTTTTAGAATAGAGTGGATCTCTTTCTTTTCCACTGGCCAAAGCAGTATATAATTGTTTTAAACAAATTAAATGCTTTAGGATATTTAAATAGCCTATAGTTGAATCAGAAATATGGTGTGTGTAAATAAGTGTACATAATTGTCTGACGCGGTGTCACTGACAAAATATTATTAAAAAGCAACATGCAAATCTTATCGTTTGCTTCAGATTCTATCCTTCAATCACAATGCTATTTTCATAATGTTCTGAATGTTCGCGAAATAAACACCTTCGTGCAGCCTTGGTTGTGCAGTAGGCTAATATATTCATACCTATTTAAACTTGCCAGTGGACTGTTCGACCACCGAATCCAGCAGTGTCTTCCACAATATCGAAGTAAGTGCGCATCGTTGATGTTCTTGCTAAAAAAATGTTCTTAAAATGAGATCTGCAATTTAAAGAAACATTATTGTGTGCCTAGCACTCCTCGCTGCCATTAAAACAGCATGCACCAAGAAAAGTGATCAAAAAACAGCGCATCCACTTCAAATATGTCTAAATATCTAAATTCATAAGTTTTTGTTTAACTTTTGAATAATGACTTTATGTAATGTCAATGCTTAACTCCATTAATGAGCAGAATATTTAATCTAAATGTGTATATTGAAAGGAAAAGAGAGTCTGAAATCATTAGGCTTCGCTATTATGCCAGTAAAAGAGTGCGCACACACGGTCTAGAGTACCCGTACGGTGCGCACATATTTACGCCAAGTTTATTTTTTAGAAATCTCAACATGTACGTGGAAAATTGCGTACGCACATTTCCATGCCCATTTTGTGCGTATGCAACGTTTATACATCAGGCCCCAGGTGTGATGACATTTCGTACAAAATCAGAACAAAACGAAGTTTGTTTGGAGCTCGACACAACTTGCCTAACCGAACTTATGAAGGTAGAATGACATCAAAAAGATTTGCATACGCAGGGTTATAAGTTAGTGCAAGACGAGCATTTGTGGTTAAAAAATTAGATCCAAATTTTTCTTTTTTAGAAAATGACATTTTTGCTAGATAAGACCCTTATTCCTCGGCTGGGATCGTGTAGAGCCCTTTGAAGCTGCACTGAAACTGCAATTTGGACCTTCAACCTGCCGCCATTGAAGTCCACTATATGGAGAAAATCCATGGAATGTTTTTCTCAAAAACCTTAATTATTTTCGACTGAAGAAAGAAAGACATTAACATCTTGGATGACATGGGGGTAGTAAATTGTCAGGAAATTTTTATTCTAGAAGTGAACTAATCCTTTAATACTGTAAAGCTGCTTGCTTTAAACCAATTTATTATATAAAGTGCTATATACATAAACAGGACTTGACTGGAGTGCGGAATTACAGAGCTGGTGTAATAATATCCACGTCGCTATGATCAGGTGCTTTCTTAACTTCTGTTTTCTCACCCCTCACATTTTTGTTGTGTGTTTGTTTACTTATAAAGAGGAAAGCAAAATTTACATATTCATCTAAATTGCGCTCTCAGCAGCGTGGGTAAACTGTAGTAAACTGCTGTTAAGGCATTTCGAACTTTATCTCCCAAAGCGAAAAACTGAAAAGTACTTCATCGTGAGTATATCACGTCCTTCACACAGACTGAAAAAAAAGATGGACGACGCGTCTCCTCCTTTCACTATAGAAAAGTGAAGCCAAAGCATCTCAGTATGGTTGCTGCCATCTTGAGTAAATGACGTCATTTGGAGCCCGAGTCTGCGCAGTAGTGTTGCGAGGTGGAGCCGCGGTATCAAACTCCTCAATCAACCATAACGACACGCCCCGTTTTTATTAGGGGTGCTCCGATTGATCGGCTACCGATCACTATCGGCCGATAATCATGGTGGGATGATTGATCGGCAGTCTCTAAAAAGGCCAATCTCACAAAAACCGATCTCAAGCTGATGATGCTGCCATGAGAGGTTTGGCACGACATGCAGCGGCACCGTCTCAGTCTCTGTCCGGCGCGGGTAAAATAATTATAAAGCTGAAGGTGAGGTACTCACCTTCATATTTCTTCATTAAATAACTTATAAAGTAATTTGAAAACCTTGTGTGAGACGTAATTTCACAAACAGCGTGAGTGAATCACCGCACGCGCTCTCACTCTTTCTCTCTCAAAATAGCAAATAGCTTAAAATCACCACATCGCGTCTGTCTATAAGCGAGCTGCACGCTGCACAGTTGACACAGGAATTGTTACTTGCACTATCGAGGCAGTGTCACATCGTCACTAAAGTTTATAGCGTGCACACTGCAGACGGTTGCGGTCCGGCAGTGCGTTCCAGGAGCAGTGCGTCTGCAGCAGAGCAGAGATCGTTTCCAGACCAAGTCTATTTTTGCTGCACTGCAAGCGCTGAATTAAAGTAACAGCGCATTATCGGTGATCAGCCTCAAAAACCCTGATCGGAGCGCCCCTAGTTTTTATAGCATCAAATTACTAGTTAAAATCAAACTTATCACAAAAAAAACAAAAAACAATTGAACATATATCAGCGTAATAACAACTACCTTAAATGACCAAAACCATCTTTCGGAAAACTGTATTGGAAGTGTAATTTATTTTTTTTATTTTGACTCAAGTCCCATTCGTTTACATGGAGAGGGCGGGGTTTATGACCTATACTGCAACCAGCCACCAGGGGGCGATCAAAGAGCCCGCAGCTTCACTTTTCAGGACGTGTGAGGCACACCCGGTCCTTTATGGCTAATGCAGATCAAAATAAACTTTTCACCAAGAATTACATAACTTTGGATTTGGGAAAACTTGGGAAAATTCTAAATGTAGCTACGATGGATTAAAGTACAGTTTATGTTGCTCACGTGGTAAGGTATAGAGGAGTTTTTTGCTTCCACAGATACTTGGATGGGCTCTTGAAGTGAGATTGTAAGTTTGTAGGTGTACGTACTTTGAATTCACCCCAATGAGTCTAATTCTCACACTACCTGGGTGCTGATCCAGCCCATTGTGGTGAGTCAGTACAGGACGTGTGGATGAGTATAAGGTGTAGGAGTCGTCAGTGTGAGAGGTGTGATGAGAACTGTGTGAGGACAGGGCTCTGGACAGAATGTGATGTCTCTGGATGGGTAGTGAGGCCTGCCGGGAGAGAACGCCCCCTATGGACACAATATGGAAACACAAATGAGGCGCCATGGACATAAATGAAACATCATCCTTGAGAAAGATGTTTCCATTAGGGACATGCTCTAAATAATATAAACTAATGGACGTTTATGAAAGTTTGGGGTCAGTACATTTTTTTTCTTGTATGTAGCAAGGAAGTATTTAATTGATCAAAAAGGACAGTAAAAACCATTTATTATGTTACAAAAGAGATCCATTTAAAACAAATGCTATTCTTTGGAGCTTTCTGTTCATTGGAGAATCTAGAAAAATATGTATAAAGATTTCCACAAAAATATTAAGCAGCACAAATATTTTCAACACTGATAATAATTAGAAATGTTTTTTTTTTTGAGCACCAAATAAACATATTAGAATGTTTGAAGGATCTTGTGACACCGAAGATTGGAGTAATGGCTGCTGAAAATTAAACTTTGGCATAACAGGAATAAATTACATTATACAATGTATTAAAACAAAACCGTTATTTTAAATCCTAATAATATTGGACATTATTACTGTTTTTACTGTATTTTTGATCAAATAAATGCACACTGAATAAGGCCGTGTGAAAAAAAAAAAAATGTAAAAAAAATCGTACCAAGCCCAAACTTTTGAATGGCAGTGTAAATATTAATTTATTTTATTATTTATTAAATAAATAATAAAATAAAAAGGTGAAACAAGAACATGACATCTCATCATTTACTCATTCTCATATTGTTCCATGTTATTTTATTTCAACTGTTTTTGTCAATACAATGAATTCCAGTGGGGTCCAAAACAATTGACACCCTCTAACTTTCATTGTATAAAAAAATAAACGGAGTGTTCCACAAAGAAAGTAGGCCACACAGGTTTAAAACGACATGAGGGTGAGTAAATGATGACAGCATCTAAATTTTTTTTCTCTTTAACATGAAAGACAAATCCCTTTTTTTCTTTCCATACATTAACTTCAAAAACTAAGATGAACCTGGGGAGGCTTTAACATCCTGATAAGATAATGCAGGTGGGAGAAACACCCCAGCACAATGAGTTAAGTGGTTGGGTCTTAATCTGGCTGTTTTGCCTCCATCATGTCTCTTCAGCAGTATTGAGGCAGAAGCTTAGAGCGGAGGCTAATTTCGTGTGAGCAGCAGGATGTTGACGCTGTGACATGACAGAGTGCTGAGTCTGCCTCTGCACTCGCTCTCACACACAGAAGAAATATACCAGGCTCATTTCAGGGAAAGATTTTCTGCTCAGGACCTAGCAATCTAAGGCAGGCTCCCCCTTTCATGGAGGCACAGGGCTCTAAAGCTAATCCGCCTGCCCCCAATATGTTCCTGTTAATCCCATTAGTGCGTGTCTGTGTGTGCCTTTATCAATGGACTACATGTCCACGTCTACAAGAATTTATGAGAACTGTGCTACTTTAGTATGCATTATTTTGATATGCATACTGTGGGATATAAAAAGTCAGAGAGTGCATTTAAAATCTGGGATTCAAATTCTATTTTAAGGCTAAAATATAGTTTTAGGATTTTGACAGATTTAGAACAAATGTTATTAAAAAATAATGTTCCACTACTTCTAAGTCAACTTGTGCTGCTGTCTTTAAAGCAAAACGGTGACATTTTTCCATTTTAATCTGCGCTCAAATTTTTATGCTGAAAAAAAATATATATATAAACTAATTTTGAATATGGACCATATATTTGTAGTAAATGCTTGTGTAAGTTGAAAAATAAAACAGAATTATTCAGTATACCTGATCTGCGACTAATGACCTCCACGATGGAGGGAGGGAAGAATCCCACACGGTCAGTGCCTCTCTGACTGTCATGGATGTGTCCTTTCCAACGTCCATCCATATGCTGCTCTAAGACCTGGAACAGACCAATAAGATCACAGGATATTCAGCTCTTTGAATGCTTACACATTTTATAATATTCATAACAGTCTTCTCTTCAATAGCTATTCAATAGCTATCGAGACTTTTTCGTTTATTATTGCGTGGAATAATTTCAATAATCTATGATTTAATTATAGCCCTCTGTGTACCCTACACTATTCAAAGCTGAACGACCTTTGTGTCATCTGGTTTTAAATAACAATCTTCTAACCTTTTTTTCTAACCTCATGGCCTAGCCTGTGATTGTTTCCTCATTTGGCTGCACAATGTGGTAAATTAAGTCAGTTGACATTCCACACATGGCAGAGAGGACCTGTGTAGCAAAGAAATTCAATCCATTTGACTGACATGAAATTGTGTTTCAAGAGGGCCTAGAAAAAGACACTAAGAATAAATTTGCGGTTTATGCGTAGCGGCTGTCTGAGTTGTTTTAAGAGTCTATTCACTAAAGGAAACATGCAAATTAGGTAATGGTGCAGACACGCACCTCACGTGATTGCAAGCCCAATGTGAAAGAGTAAATAAATAGACATGAAATATTGATTTAGCATCATTATATAACACTAAGTGCTTTTTTATTATATTTTATATACTATTATAGTGTTTATTAATATTTTGGATTAGCTTTTAATTTTTACATAGTTTTTATTTTAGTTTTTTTCCCCATGTAATTTTATTAGGTGTTTTGTAATTTGTGTGTGTGTGTGTGTGTGTGTGTGTGTATATATCTTATAAAATAATAATAAATAAAATTTCTTTGCTTAGAAGACATGATATGGTTTTTTAGAGATATAATATTTCAGCAAGTCTGCTTGATCAGTTACCAAAGAACAATGTTCAAATTATTCAAGAAAATACCATTTTCTTATCAAAGTGATAAAATGTTGTGTTGCAAAAATGAGTACACTCTCCTGAAAGTTACTAAATAAAAAAAAAATAAATAAAAAAAAAAAACTGGTGTAAGGTTAAGGCAAGTATTGATCAACAGGTAAGTATACTGTTAAAGGTAAGTAATTTCTTGATAATTAAGCGTTATATGGCCCACTGAATCATACTCAGACTTAATGCTGATAACAATGAAACCACTTGAGAGATAACTATCAGGAGATTTATTTCTTAGCATAAAAGAGGACAATGGTACAAAAGGAATACCAAATTATTGTTTTAAGTGTGAAAATATAGCACTTCTGGGAATCCATACTCTGGACTCATGAGACCAATTCAATCATTTCGGATCTAACTGCATCCAAAATGTTCTGGTGTTGTTAGAGGAGGAGTACAGAGAGAAGTGCCTGGTTCCCACAGTGATGTTCAGTGGTAGTAAAGCTCTTCTATAGGTATGTATGAGTGCTGAAGGTGTGAGGGAGTTGTACTTTATCAACGCTGTCATGAATTCACACACCACTGTGTGATGTAATACAAAAAACTGAAACTGAAGATGCTTCCCTCTTCTCATTCCCTGCATTGTTGGCCATTTTTTATAACATGACAATGAAGATATTAATTCTCCTGAGTTGAAAATCTTTCAGTGGACATGTATTTCACTCAATCTTAGTATATATGTATATATACGTATATACTAGGGGTGGAACGATACATGTATTCATACCGAACTGTCACGGCACGGGCATCTCGGTTTGGTGCATGAGGCCTTACAACAAATACAGGCAATTCACCCCCAATCCAGAAGGGGTAGCCCGCAGTAATGCAACGCTGTTTGATAACCGGCCGCCAGCAGAAGAACAGCGAATGCCATGAGTTGCGATAGCTTGTGCACTCAACTGTTTGCGAAATGGAGCTTCGTTCGTGTATCCTACCTCTCTCATTCGGCACAAATCCAAATATTCCATAATATTTCCATATTTGCGATGTAACTTATCTGAAAGCTAAACTATTATTTATTATGCAAATTATAGACTTTGTACTTCAGTCGCGTTCCAACGGTGACACAGAGGCGGGTGCGCTGATCTTTGGTTCACTGTATTTTATTTTGATAAAGTACCAACTGCGCTGTCAAGTTAGCAATGCTGGAACTGATGGATGTGTGTGTGTGTGTGCTCGCCGGCGCGATCACTTCAACTGTTTCCTTAAACCAGCAGAATCAACTTTAAACACTTATTGTCTTATTAATAATGCATCAATGTATAAAGGTCTGCTTTTATTTGTGTACACTCACGATGAAAACAAAACATTGTGCTTTTGTAAAATAAAGAAAACAAATAGTATGTCACTTTCTGCCATTTGAGTTTCCTTTCTGAGAAAACAAATTAAGCCTGTCACAAAAATGAACTGAAACTCAGCGTATATATAGGCTACATTACGTGTCGAACTGTTTTTTTCTCTTGTTTATCTGTAAACTAAATCAAATATATTTCAAGAAT